AGGCTGCAGGACCAGGTGGAGGTTCCTCTGTTGTGTGTAGGGTTGCTGTGAGTGGAGCAGACCAATGACACCTGACAACAGCAACAGAGGTGTTGGCAATGGAATGAGGATGGACGTTCAAACCAACCAACCAGCACAACTCCGAAACCCAGGTGGGCCTGGCAGAAGGCAGTGTTGGATAGCGTCTAGCGCCCATAGGCCTGTACATCTCTAATAGGTGAAGCATTTGCATGCTGAGAAACAAAATCATAAATGTACTAGAAGAAAATATAGAAAGTTCCTTTATCACCACAGGGTGCTGAAGGCTTTTCAAACTATGAATTTTTTTATTTTTAAATCATTTTATTGGGGGCTTGTACGACTCTTATCACAATCCATCCATCCATCCATCCATCCATCCATTGTGTCAAGCACACTTGTATATATGTTGCTATCATCATTTTCAAAACATTTTTTTCTACTTGAGCCCTTTGTATCAGCTCCTCATTTTCCCCCCTCCCTCCCCCACTCTCCCTCCCTCATGAACCCTTGATAATTTATAAATTATTATTTCTTCATGTCTTGCACTGTCTGATGTCTCCCTTCACCCACTTTTCTGTTGTCCATTCCCCAGGGAGGGCATTATATGTAGATCATTGTGATTGGTTCCCCTTTTCTCTCCCACCTTCCCTCTACCCTCCTGGTAGCTCTAATCTCATTATTGGTTCTGAGGGGTTATCTGTCTTGGAGTCCCTGTGTTTCCATCTCTACTCTGTACCTGTGTACATCCTCTGGTCTGGTCAGATTTGTAAGGTAGAATTGGGATCATGATAGTGGGGGTTGGGTGGGGTGGGAACTAGGAACTAAAGGAAAGTTGTATGTTTCATCGTTGCTACACTGCACCCTGACTGGCTCGTTGTATGTTTTATCGGTGCGATACTGCACCCTAACTGGCCCCTCCCCACGACCCTTCTGTAAAGGGATGTCCAGTTGCCTACAGATGGGCTTTGGGTCTCCACTCTGCACTCTCCTTCATTCACAATGATAAAAGCAGTTGTCTCAATCGATTTGCTTGAAGGACACAGGACAATCCTTCAAGGACAACATTTGAAGAAAACTGCATTGGTGAGAAATAGGCCAAGAGAGTTGTGCTGGGGATTTTTTTTCCATCACAACAATGCACCTGCTCATTCTTCAAGGGTAACAAGGGCGATCCTATGAGAATCTTATTGTCACACTTTATCCCAATGCACTCCTCATCTCTGATCTTCTCCCTTTAGACCTTTTGTTTCCCAAACTCAAAGGACATTTAAAAGGAATATTATCTGAGGTCCTTGGGGATGCCAAAAGTGTCATTTTGGTGTGGTATATGTATATAGAAGAGTACACAATGCTTAAGAGAAGGCTTAGAGAAATGTACACATTGCCTCAGTAGTGTATAGACCTTGATGGAGAAGTTCTTGAGAAACAATAGCTTCACATTTTGATAATTTAATATTTTGTCTGATTTTGTAGCATTACTTTTAGAATTACCTTCATATTCCTTTTTCATTATCCAAATTTTCAGGCATATGAGGTGATGGAAAAGATCATGGCTTGGATTAAGCACACACAGTCCTAAAAGAGATTGATTTTCTTTAATTTTTAGGGCTGTAAAGAGATCTTTTATAGCAGATTTTCCCAATGCAGTATGCTGTTTGATTTCTTGACTATTCCCTCTGTGGTCATTGATTATTGATTCAAACTCAAACCAGACTCACTGTCATCCAGTCTGTTCTGACTCACAGCCACCCTGTAGGGCAGGGTTGAACTGTCCCTGTGGGCTTCTGAGACTGTAACTCTTTCCAGGAGTAGAAAGCCTCATATTGCTTCCACGGAGCTGACTGGTGGTTTTGAACTGACCTTGAGGTTTAGCAGCTCCACGTGTAACCACTGTGTCACCAGGTCTCTTTATTGTTGATCCATGTAAAACAATATTCTATACAACTTCAATATTTTTTCCATTTATCAATGATATTGCTTATAGATCCAGTTGTGAGGTTTTTCCCCCTTTTTCTTTCTCTCTTTTTTAACGTTACAGTGTAATCCACACTGAAGCCTGCAGTTTTTGGTTTTCATCAGTAAGTGCTTCAAATGACCTTCACTTTTGGCAAGCAAGGTTGTGTCATCTGCATATCACAGCCTGTTAATGGGTGCCCTGCCGATCTTAATTAATGCAGCATTCTTTTCCACAAAGTCCAACTTCTCAGATTATGTACACATTATAAAAATTGAATGAGTATGGTGAGGTGATACAACACTGGTCCCAACTTTTCTGATTTTAAACCTAGTAGCCGCCTGTTCTAGGAGTGCTGGTAGAGTACTGGTTATAAGAGTGGCTGCTAACCACAGGTAGTTGAAAACTACCAGCCAGCTCTGTGGAAGAAAGACGGTGTTCTACTCCAGTAAAAGATTGTAGTCTTGGGAACCCACTGCCCTGTCCAACAGGGTGAGTTGGCATTGGCTCGCCGGCAGTAAACCCCCTTTACTATTTGAATGACTGCCTCTTGGTCTATGTCAGGCACGAACAAAGGTTTGTTGTGAACATAAATGCTCTGGAATTAGCATTCGTTGCAGTGTTATCCATAATTTCTTATGCTTTGCACAGCTGAATGCTTTTGTGTAGTCAGTAAAACACAGGTATACATTCAAAGAATGAATATCTCAAGTTTTCTTGAGGCTCATGAGTTCAAGCCTAAGATTATATATATTAGGCTTTTATTCAGTTAGTTGAAAAGCATTTTTTAAAGAGGTCAGTAAAATCCAAAGAAGTTTAATGCAACTCTTTTTTTTGGAAACTACATTGTGATTTATCAAAGTTAAGAACGCAGCTCTTGTACAAATATAAGCCATATGTTGAAGATGAATTAACTTATTAATGAGGAAACCAGTATGTGGTAAAACTGCTCCTACAAGCATGTTGAGAATTTGGGTATGAAAGGCTTTTAGGAAGAGCATTAGGGTTAGATTGTTGTTAATAATAATAATAATAAATAATAATAATAATAAAAAACTGAACTTCACTGTCAAGTAAATGCAGACTCATCAATTCCACAGGATGGAGCAGAACGACCCATAGCCTTCCATGGCTGTCATCACTACAGAAGCAGAGGGCAGCTGCTGGTTCCAGCCTCAGACTTTTCTGCTGAAGCCTTAATTGCTGGGTCAGCAGGCGTCCTATTAGAACGTTGGGGTAGACACAAAATTGCTGAATGTCTTTTTATGCAATAAAATCATAAACTTTAGGTTAACTTTTCTTCTGAGTAGATTAGACAAAATTTGCAAATTCATGTCTGGGATCTAATCAGTAAGGAATAGTAAAGTCAAGTTCTCCAAGAGAAGTAAGTAGGCCTTGGGTGGACTAGCAAAATAATGTCAAAGTGTGACATTGATCATTTAAAGCTCCTTCCATTTATTTCAGTTTGGGTTATTTAAAAAATGTCCCCAAGTAAAATGCATACTTAAAAAAAAATTATGTCAACTTAGGAAGTTCAGACTAAAATCACCAGCACAGTTCTTTCTGTTTTCTTTTGTTTTGAAGGGGGAATGGAGCGTTTGATTCTAAATTTCAAGCAAGCATCTGTCACAGCTACTAGTTCATTTCAGATCAAGGTCAACATGGCAGAAATGAACACTGGAAAGAGAGGAGGTCAAATATCTCCAGGGGAAATGAAGGAAGGGGGGGGGGGCGCCGCTGATAATCTTCCTCTCCCCCAACTGGGCTGCCTCTATCCAAAGAGAAACTGTGGATTTGATATGCACTTGCATTGTGAAGCAGCTAGTGAGTTCAGCTTTACCCAGCAGCTCCTAAGCGCTGCAAACCCCATCCCTTGCACGATCCCCCTAGTCACCAGTGAGTGTCTAGAATAAATAAATTCTCCACTCGCCCTGCGTGGGCTCATTCACAGCTCTGTAGTCCAGGGCTGGGCGCTTCCGGTTAAGGGCTGAAATAACCGGGAGGACAGGTCATGTGTGCTGCAGAAAGTCCTTCCATAGGAGGTCTTCTTTTCCTCGGCAATCAACCTACAGGGACACACACACACACACACACACTTTAGCAATCAACCTACAGGGACACACACACACACACTTTAGCAATCAACCTACAGGGACACACACACACACACTTTAGCAATCAACCTACAGGGACACACACACACACTTTAGCAATCAACCTACAGGGACACACACACACA